CCTTTTCAAGTCAATCATACTTATTTTTGTTATGCATTTTTATTTATGATGAATTTTAGAATATTCATACATTTAAATATTTGAATAAACGGATGATATATTTTTTATTCAAAAAATTGAATATTAATCTTTACATTCCTAAATATAAAAGAAATCTAATATATATATATATATATATATATATTATATTACAACATATATGGTTACCATATAAGGTTTTCTTATGTGGATGCTTACATAAATAGTTTTTCTTTTTGACACATAAAAAAATTACTAAAATTTCTTTTTATAATGATATATAAAATGTTTTTTAATTTTAGACTCTTTGTTAAAAAATAAATTTCAAAATTTATTTAATTATCCAAAACTTTTAAAATTTAAATAAAAAATCAATTTAGATTTAAAATAATTAAAGAAATAAAATTATTATTTTTTATTTTGGTAAGATTTTATTTAAATAAGTAAAACTAATTCTTATTTTTTATTTATGGATTAAATAAATTTATTTAAAAAATTATTGGTTATCCAAATCTCTTTAAGATATATTTATTTAAAAATTTTAAATTATCCAAAGTTTTTCTTTTTACTAAAAAAAAATCATCTTTGACATGGGATTAGTCTTAAATGACCAAATAGCGAGTGAAAAAGCACAATTGTTCTTAATCTATAATTACTGTTACATTTTAGAATGTCTATATTTTTGTTTCCTTTACAATTAAATTTATAGTATTAATAATTGTAAAGTTTGCTCATAGAATATAAAACACTTCACCTACAATTTTCAATTAGGACAATAATATATATTTTTTATTTTTTAAAATTAGTTTTTTATATATATCTTCAATTTTAAAAATATCAAATATAATTTTATCTTAATAAATTTCATGATAATCTTATATTATTTTAAAAAATCAAATTTAATCTTTTAATAATTTATAAATTATTGTCTAATATCATTTTTTAACATCATTTTTTTTTTTATTGTTCTCCATTTTTGTGTTACCTCAAGTTATAAAAGCATTTATTTTTTTCCTTTTTTAGATGTTTATAGTTAAGGATGGCATCAGGTAACTGTACCCAATTTTATATCCATAAAATCAAAACCCAATCTGATCCGATCCAAAATTTTTTTTATTTTCTATACTTGAACCTGACTTAACCTAATATTATATAAATTGTATCCGATCCGAACAAACATGAAATTAATAAAATATTATTTTTAATATAAATAAAAAATTAAATAAATAGATAAATATATATAAATAAAAAATTAAATAATTATATATATCGGGTTAAGTCGGATCAGGTTTGCCTAAAACTCGACTTTGACTATTTTCTATTATTATTTGACCCAATCCGAAACCTAATTTAAAAAAAAAAATCAATCCTATGAGATTAGGTCGGGTTGGAATCTGTCTGGGATGGGTTGGGCTGCTAACCCTACTTATAGTAAGCACAAGATTTTTAACTTTGACTTTTTTTATATATATATTATAAGATGTAAAGTTACATAAACACATATATTCTTATATTTTGTAAGTGCTATCTACATACATTTTTTCTTTACTTTTGACTATTCACTTAATTAGGTAGTTTTTTTTTTCAATTAGCTTTCTTTTTTTATATATTACAATGTACAAAGTTACAAAAAATATTTTTTCTTTTATTTTGCAAGTACTATCTATAATTTTTTTTTTTATATTTGACTTTTCACTCAATCAGATAATATTTTTTCTCTTAATTTAACTTTCTTATAATATGCAAAAATACTTCAATTAATAGTATGCTTGATTATATTGATTTGAACCTATTATTTATATCAAAATATTGTTACAAATAACAATAACTAATTGAATTTTGAAATCATATTTTATGTATGTAATATAATCAGCGCATCAATTATATTTTGTATAAAAATTTGTAATCTGTTATACTTCTTCCTCTTCAAAGTCATAACACTCATTTTATTTATAAAAAAGTTATGATAAATTGATATCCAATTTGATTTCATTCTTTTTTATTTTTCAAATCAAGTCTCATTTAGTAAGCACTTGATATTTTCTTAAACATAATTTTAAAAAAATTATGAATTTAAAAAATTAAGAAATGTCTATGAATTTGGTGGCATTTAATTGTAAATATTTCTAAATTTTAGATTTCGTTTCAAGTTTGACTCAAATCACCTATTTAATTTATATTTATTATTAAAATGTTAAAATTTTATAATATTAAATATATTTTAAATTTAAAATTAAATAATTTTTAATTTCAATTAATAACATTAATTGCATGTATTCCTTGCTCAGCTCAATAACAATTGCATAGAGTTATTTCTCAAAGAGTTGAACAAATATCTCTTTTTTCAAATTAAAAAATTAAAATTAAAATCGCATCGTCTATCTTTGTGCATCTATATTTAGTAAAAAAATATTTAAGAAATCCATAATTTCTTATTTCTTTTAATAACATTAATTACACGTATTTCGAATATTTAGTTCAACAACATTAATTGCATTTATTCCTTGTTCAGCTCAATAACAATTGCACATATTTTCTTACTCAAAGAGTCGAACAAATATCTCATTATTCAAATTAAAAAAAGAAAAATAGAATCTTCGCACGTCTATGTTTAGTAAAGAATATTTAAAAAATGCATAATTTCCTATTTCTTTTAAAAGATTAGTGGTTGCCATGTATCAAATTGCTTGTTTAAAGAGGAGTCTTTCTTATTCCATGATTTAGTTTGTTTTTCAAATTAAGTATGATAATTTATGTTATTGTATTGTATTTTGTTTTAAATATAATTTCAGACAAAACAAACGGTAATATTGATTTGAAAGCCTTGGCCCCTTAAAAACTTTTAAGTTTTTTAAATTTTTATGTTATGATAAAATGAAATAGCTCTCTACAATTAAAATCATTAATTTTATTTATTTTATGTGATTTTATAATTTAATTTTGTTCATTGAAATTAAGATATATTAAAATCACATTATTATTTATTTATCTATTTATTTATTAATAAATCATTATTTACAAATTTTTAAAATTAGGAAATTTGTCACTGGATTAAATCACAATAATATAAATTTAATAAAAGCCAAATTAACTTTCTAATTTCTCAAATAAGATTAAAGGTCTCCAAAGTATCAAACATAATTTCTTATACGTTTTAATTGATTACAATTCTACTTTTCCATATAATTCTTCACTTTTAATTCTATCTTAGATTTTTATTCTCTATCATGCAATTTTTTTAACACAAAAGTCAAATTAAAATCACTTTATTTCAAAGTTAAAAAAAAAAAAATCCTAACTTCTAATCTTAAAGTTTCAAATTTTATTCTTTTAATTATATAGTTTTTTTTTCTTGTTTTGACAAAAAATATTGTTTAATTTACTTATATATATATTAAAATAACTCATAATTGTAAGAAAGATTCACAATTTTAAATAAAGCTATTTATTTAATGTATTATTTTTTTTATTCATTGATTTATAAATCAACAAAATTTATAATTTTAAAAACATGTATATTTTGTTAGTATATTGCTTGCATATATATATATATTAATAATATAATAAGATACATTCTATAAAAAAAAATTTGATTTAATATAATATCAATTAGCCCCCTTAAAATCAACTATCAAGATCCAACATTGATTTCAGACAGACATGAATAACCTTCACACAAACTCAACACAATTACTTAAATGACACTAATAATTTAAACATGAATATGATACATTTATTATACGTATTACATGTAATATAATACGATTAATACATTTAAAATTAATTTATACCAAAATAATATTACACGATATGATACAATTAACATAATTATATACGAATAATATGATTAGACATGATTAACCAATTTATTTAAACAAAAAAATTATCTAAATTAGTATTTAAATAAAAAATATTTAAAAACTAAATATGATACGATAAATATGATTATTAATTTTTTTCTTAAATAAATTAAAATAAATTTTAAAATTTTGTATGTTATAAACAGTATCGTGTATTAAATGTATTATTACTGTTTGATACAAAATATGACATAAATAATAATATATCTTAATCGTATCGACATGATTAAGATACAAAACATAATTATACTAAACTTATATATAATTTTTTTATATAATTTTTATTTTATATTATCGTATCGTATTTAAAATTATTAAACTTATTTCGAATGCTATCGGAAGCAATAACCGCCTTGCTAATCATCTATGTATACAGATTATGACAGTTAATTAAAGTCCGTGAGGAGGGAAGATGGAGGTTATGTGATTTAGAAAAATCCAAGTATTCATAAATTCCCGGTCTCATAATAGTTTTCTATCAACAATTTGGAAATTCCTCTATATTTTATATTCATTAAACAGCGTAAAAGATATTCATTAAATAAGAAGGTAAAAAATATTTTTATAACAAAAGGAACCCATTTATAAAATTGCTTGAAATACGCACCTTTCAAGTAAATCATACTTATTTTTTATTAAGTATTTTTATTTATAATAAATTTTAGAATATTCATACATTTAAATATTTGATTCAACAGATAATTTTTTTTATTCAAAAAATTATATTTTAATATTTGCATTCCTCAATATAAATATATATATATATATATATATATATATATATATATATAAAACAAATTCGTAAAATCTTTGAGGAACTAAATTAAGGATTGAAATTGAAATAGAGAAAGACTTAGAAAAGGGCAGGGATGGGTTTTGTTATTGTTTGGCCTCTTGTTTCTCCGTCAATTTGAAATATGAAATCTCGAACCGATAAGGCCAACGAGTTTAACAGGCTGATTCTGGACCCTATACCACTTTTGTGTAAGGCCAATAGAAAAATTTGAAAAAAATCGATGAATACTTCATTTTTGGGCCTTATAATGTTTTGGCCCATTATTTTTACCCATGATGAGGCCCAAACTCCAAAATTCGAAATTGTAAAACCCGTCGCCCCTAATTCGGGTTGCAATCTCCTCCTCAACCTGAAAGCCCTAGAATTTTCAATTTGGGGTTCCTTTCTTCCCTTGCAACCTCAATTTTCTTCTCTTCTAATTTTCCTCAAACCTATCAAATTTCGCGAATCCAAAATCCCCAAAAAAGAAACAAGAGAAATGGATGGTATTGAAGACGATTCAAGATACCCAACCAAGCCCTTTTCTTTTAGTCGCCACCCTCAATACCCTCGTTCGGTCAGAACTCGCCATGTGTACAGTTACGGACCAGAAGAAGAGGTCGATGAAGAAGAAGAAATGGAAGAAGAAAACGATGATGTAGAGGACGAAAACGACGATGATCCTGATGTTTATTACCGTCGTATTAAAGAAAGCGAGCATTTTGAAAGATACCCAAAACGGCAAAAGTTGAGAACATCAGTTCCCAGCTATCAATACGCTCCAGATCATAGAGATAGCTTCAGAAACACCTATGATTGGACCCAGCAAGAAATTTATGTGTTGTTAGAAGTTTGGGGAAATAGGTTTTTGCATTTGGGAAGGAGGAGTTTGAGGGGTGAAGATTGGGTTGATGTAGCTGAGAAAGTTAGTGATGCCTTGAAAAGTGAGAAAAATGAAGGGCAATGTAGGCGAATGATTCATGGGTTGAAGAGGAAGTTTAAGAAAGAGAAGTCAAAAGCTGAAAAAATGGGGTTGAATTCGAGTAAATGGGTGTTTTTTAGGAAAATGGAGATGTTAATGGGGTTGGGTTCTTCGTTTAGGCAACAAGAATCAGGGTTGGCTTGCGGAGTGGATTCCGGGGAGTTTGTTTTTATGAATCCGCAGGTTTATTTGGATAGGTCTAATGGTTTTGATGAGATGAGGGATAGTCCTGCGGAGTCAGAGATGGAGGAGGATGATGAAGAAGAAGCGGATGGAGGGTCGAGGATGAGAAGAGAATGGAATGATGAGCATTCGATGAGGATGTTGGCTGATTCGGTGCAGAGGTTTGGGAAGATATATGAGAAGATTGAGAGCAGTAAGAGGGAGCATATAAAGGAGTTGGAGAAAATGAGGATGGATTTTCAGAAGGAGTTGGAGGTGCAGAAGGAGCAGATTTTGGAGAGGGCACAAGCAGAGATTGCCAAAATGAAGGAAGAGGATGATGCCGATGAGGATGAGAGTGACGAGGACGATGAAGACAATGACAATTCCACGGAGAATATCAGCGAATAGGTTTCTTGGTGTGTACTTATTATGTATCTTTGTTCCTATAGTTGTCATATCAAATTGCTTTCCGTTACAATAGACCATTTAATGTTGGAGATCTTGTTTCATTTGTTTGTCCTGTTTGTATTTGTTAATCATTGCTATATCTTGATATGTTAGTGTTTCCAAGGAGAAATTCCAAAATAGGAAAGATTCATAGCACTTGTCTTGTTCATTTTTTTACATTAAAGTATATATTATTGGATTATTTCAACTGAATTTTCCTTTACTTGGTAACGATCAATACTTCTCTTTCCTGATTGTAGAGGATAAGGCCGCTGTTACTAGCTAGAAATTATGATGGTTTTGTTGTGGTTTTCTTTTTTGGGAACTCAAGTTTGAATTGAGCTCAATAGTGGATTGGATCATTGGATTCAACCTAAGCTAATCTGGCCACACTTCATTATTAATCACTATACAATAGCCTGTTAATGAGTTTGCAGAAAATAGTAGACATTTAGGCAATAGAAAACAAAGTTGTGTTTGAGCCAAATGGCTACCTTATATTGGTAGGTGATAGAGGTTGCAATACATCTTGCTTTTAAATCTTAATTGAGGGAATAGATTAGGTGTATAGATAGTTACATCAACTTGAAATTGAAATGAATGGTAGCTTATATTAGTAGTACCGGAGGTAATATGCCTCGCCTTTAATCCTTGTCCTCTTTTTTTGTTTGTCTGAAATGGACCAGTATTTCTTAAAAATTTTTATGTCAAAGAAACAATGGTAATGTGGTGCTTGGTGATGTGCACTCTTTTTACCTTGAGCACTTCATTGGATTTCAACTCATGTTTTTTTCCCTTTCCAGTTTTCAACCTTTCTAAATTATAATATGCTTGGCATGATTGTGACTTTGTCATTTCTTGTTTTCAACTGCTGCACTTTGCTTATCATATTTGCAGTGTATGATATAGAATCCATCATAATATTTTCTATGATGTCTAGATTCATGGTTGTGGACCATGTTTTTGTTGTTTTGAGAATTGAATCACTTGGTGGAAATTTTTTTTAATGGCCGTATAAAAATATGTATTTGTTAAATTAAGATATGGAATTCTCATAATTAGTTGAAGTCTAGGTTAATTTTCTGGCATTCTAAATATTGTGCTATTCTCAAGAAGTTTCCCTTTTTAACCTTTTGGATTTCTCCTATTCTCAGCTTTTGAAGTTTTGTTAAAGGACATTGCATCTGAACCTGCAGTAAGTGTGATTGACAGAGGACCCTGTGCTCACTGCTTGGTAAGATGACTTGTGGAAGTTGAAGGTTTCAGTCTTATGGATGTTTTATATTTAGAATCTAATAAATGTATGTTCTATTAGTCTAACTTTCATCATCTTTATATGCTGCCATTTGAATTTATTGGGCTTATTTTGACACCTTCTAAATGGCTCCTTAGAAGCTTTCATGCCAAGCAAATGAATGTACATTACCTTGGCTTTCTATATATATCTTTTTTGCTCAAATTTGCTTGTTATTTTGTTTCAGAATTGTCAGACAGATTTAATTACTTCCACTTAATTATTGTCTTTACATTGAAAGATATTTAGCTCGTACATTGGCAAACTATGATGGAGCATTCATGTTCCCAATTAAGCTTCAGAATAATGCATGCTGGTATTTGAGGGTTGTGTTTGGCTAATTGGAAGCACATTTTGGTGAATTTTTTTGGTCACAGAATGCATGTGATTGAAATCTTTTTGGATCTGGCTTAGAAATGACCAGATGGGTTTTGAGATCCTTCCTAAGTTTAGAGAATACTTGAATTCGAGAGTTTTGTCTTTGAAAAGACCAAATGCACGTTTGAAGGTTCATTTGATGCTTCCATAATAAGTATTGGTTTCATATGAGGTGTGTATGAAACTTGCATCAACCATTGACAGCCAGAGCAATGAGCAACATGACTATGCTGGAACATAGAAGCCACAAAAAGATTGGCTTCTCAACATTTGTGAAGGAGAAGTTGTGTTTCTTTGGCGACTAACCAGATCTCTCGGCTCGATGGCGGTACTCTCAGAATGCTCATTTAAAGAAATTCCCTTATCAGAAGATTTTGTTCTCAAGATTTACATGCATAATAAAATACAACATTCATGACTGTTTCAAAAACAAGTACTAAGGAATACATGGATATCAAGACAGGTATTTCCCACATACAGATGCCCATGGACATTCTCAATTCAAAAAAACACTCAACAAGCCTGAAGCCCATATTGCTCAACAAAGCCATAACTAAAGCTGATTGTCGTCTTCCTTCCATAAGATTTTTAGCTTTCCATAGTGAATCAAGTCCATAACATTCTGTTTCCAATACTGATATAACGTTTGCCATGTTCCCTACGACCATTACATGTGCAAAAATCACACAGAAAGGTATGCCTAGGAACCCAAGAACACCCCAGAATCCTAATTTTGTTGAGCAGATTCCCAACGTGTACAGTATCTTTGGTGCTGCTGCTAAACCAACCAGCAAGCCTCCAAAGAGGCCTAGTATGATAAGGATCTCCCAAAATCTTGTGTGGAAAAGCTTAAACCAAGCCGAACCGCTTCTCATGAATAGCCTTCTTCCATCAAGATTTATTCCATTGTAACTATCTGAAACTGCTTGGACGGTGGCAGCTCTTCCAAGAAGAGAGAAGGTGATGGAAGAAGGGATGCAAATGATGATGTGAACTATTGTTTTGGATAGCAAATTGGGCAGGCGATGTCCAAATAAATTATCGGTGATTGTTACAGTTGAGGAAGGAATTTGAGGGAAATGGTGAATGAGAAAATGTGAAAAGAAAAGAGAAACCGGAAGTGGTGAGAAGAGAAAGATGGAGATGGAATGGAAATGAGTAGGATGAAGAAGGATTATCCTGATGGATTCTCTAAAAATCTCGGCCGTGTTCATCAGATAGATGGACTCAAGAACTTGTGCTGTTCTTCTTGGCATTGTGTGTAAAAGCGCAAGATCATAAATGACTGAGTGAATGTGCTAATTTGTATAGCTAAGATCAGTTCTGCTGTTTGCTTGCTTGCAAATTCACCATGATTGAATAGGTTTGTAGGTCGGTTATATCGTACTCACAAAAAGTCTTAAGAAAATTGGTTTTGCCTGTGATGGTAATTCTTTTAATTGCTTTTAATCATAAGGATGTAGGAAAAGGTAAAGAAATTTTGATATTTTCTGAAGAGACCTAATCTGCTATTTCCAGGGTCAAAGAGTTATATATATATCTTTTAGCCGAATCAACTGCTGCAATGGCCCTGGTGCAAATTATGGAACTTTGCTTTTCATTTGCTGATATATAGTTTTCAAAAACTATTATTGGTAAATTTCTGTTCTTTTCGAGCTCTTAAGGACCTATATGTTTTGGCTTTGCTTTGGTCTGAAGTAGACATGTTGATAAAAGGCAAGAAAGAAAATTATTGTGGGGTCAAAGAGAGCGTTTAAGGTGAATGGAAAGACTCCATGATTTTGCCTTCTTGTAATGAGCTTCTGTAATGATGCGGGAGAGAGTAGATGTCTGAAATATAGGAAAAGGGGAAGAAAAATTTAATGTCAATTTAGGATTTAACTTGAAAGCAAAGGCAATTAGACATGTGAGCGTGGGCCAATGGAGGACAAAAGCTAAATGATTAATGTCAAATGTTCAATGGAAATTCTGTGCTTTTAAACATCATGTGATTTTGTAACAGAAAATAGTTATTATTAGAAGTATGCAACCCCGAGAGAAAAGAAAGGGGGAAGTCGTACTCTATACGGTTTAATATGTTTGCTACTTGATTTGATTGAGGTTGAAACTAACCTTAGTACTATACCACTTTGCTCACAATTCATCAGGAAAAAGCTCCTCCTTGAGTGAAGGAGCTATCCATTGAATCTGAATGTAGGTAATTTCCCATAGATCATCACCATCCTTGGGTACTAAAATCTCCTTCTCTTGCATGTTTCTGATCATCTTTCTCAACAAGTCTGGTACAACTTCTTGCAATTTTGTTTCACCATATTCTCCCAGATCAGCTTTCATGCATGTATCCATTCTTCTCAGAACGCCTAACCAGAATGTCCTAAACCCTGGATTCTCTGAAATCAGTTTTAGGAATTGTAAGTACACATCTGTCATGAGCTCTATGGAAATCTTGAGAGTCCCTTCCATACTTCTCATCTCCCTCTCTGCATTTTCACGCCTCGAATATTCGATCATCTTTTCATGCAGATCATCAACCATTGCAAATATGACAAGGTTAAAGCAGTTGATACAACTGGTGGAGGAAAGTTCCAGATCTTCAGCCAATTGAAAGCCTCTCCTCATAGATGCAATTGCATGGTTTCTTATCTCTTCTCGCCGTGCTAAGCTGGTTTTTCTAAGGGCTTCCCCTAGTTTGACAAATAAACTCAAGGTAAAGTTAATGGAACCTATGGCTTTTGAGTTATCCTCCAATGAAGAAGTATTAGCATTGCTTCCAATACTATAATTGTTTCCCGGGTTTGAGTACTCAATTTTATACCGTTGGATTAGCAAATTCACTGTATCTGACATTAGATCAAGGATCTTCAAATTCTTCTCAAGAGGACTGTTCTTGAGGGCAACAAAACCAAATGCACAATCAATACAGTAGGCATAATTTATCCGTGATATATGGAAGGCATCAGACATCAACATGATCAAAATCTCCACTGCCTGATCATATGTTTCTGGGTGTCGTCCTGTGACAGATAGCAAATGAAGGGTTGATTTCCATCCCAGTTGAGTCTGCAAATTTGCTGGGTATTCTATGAGAATCTTGCTCACCGACTGAATTATGAACTTGGAGCATGTGTCAAAAATTTCTTTATCTAACTTCCACATCAAATTTATGGACTTAAAAATGAGCTCCTCTGGCATTTTATCTGCTTGGTATGAAGCTAGAAGCTTGAGGCAGATACTGAAAAGGCCAATAATGGCTTTTTCTGCAAATGGGATTGGGGAAAATAGAGGAAATTGAGCAACTGCTAGAAAATAATCATGGAAAGAAGGCCAAAACACCTGAAACCTGTAAATGTTGGATAAAGAAATGGCAATGATCAAATCCCAACAGAAGCCAACAGTTTCTTCTTCTTCAATTGGAGTACTAAACTTTTGGCCTTTACCAGCAGCCGCAAATATAAGAGAACGCCCAAGATTCAGCAATGCCTCAGTAGGTAAGTTAGAACTGTTCTGAAATATACGCCCAATTCGGCACTGTTTGATGATCTTCAGGTTCTGTTCAAATTCACTTATGCCCAGAGATATAGACACTTCCATGGTATCTAGTGATAGAAAATGGGAGAACCGACTAACCATGCCAGAAGTCTGGCGCTTGAAGAGCTTAGGATCATGATTTGGAAAAATTACTCCAGACTCAGATTTCAAGGCTTCTGGGACATCAGATGATGAAGTGGAAGCAACATCAAATTCAATGACAGATTGGGGAAGTAGCCTAAGCCTTTTGAGTTTCAACAAGCAGTCAACGATGTTCCTCCAACCCCCTTGAAGTGCATCTCCAAAGTTGTTTGCTATAGTAAAAACTGCAAGGGTAGCCATTCTTGGTTTCATATCATTGCTGAATGCAAACAATGTTTCTTCTGCAGAAGCGTAAGGATTTAAAAGTGTTGTAAATTTGCAGAATGAGGCAACCAGCTCATCCAGCGTGTCTGCCAGCCCATACTGAGCTATCCTAGCTACAGAGATCAGGCATTCAATGCATTCATGGAGCATTTCATCTTCATCAGCATGCTCAAAGAATGCAGAAAGAGCTGCAATTGTTGGGCCAGCAACACAGGCAAACATATCTCTTCCCAGGCGACGATCAAAATCACAAAGGACATATGATTGCATCGATTTGGCTCGGTTCATCAATTCAATCCATCTGCTTGGGTTCATCTCTACTGAACCAGATTGACCAAAAACCGTGACTGCATGGTTTGAGATGGAGTGAAACAGCTCGGACAGGTACTCTCTGGGGAGATCCTGCCCTCCATTAATTGCTCTATTGTTCCTTATGAACTCTTCCTCCGTCATCTTTTTCTTGACTTGTGGATTGTGTTGATCTGTATTGAGCATAATGAGAGAATAGCAAAGAATGAACACTGAATCCTTAGTCACAAAGATTTCCGAAGATTGTTGATCGAAAAATCTCTCCGAGAAAACTTCTAGGATTCTTTGAATCTTCTGGGACTCTCCTGGGAGCCGGAATGTCTCAAGATAAGTTCTAAGCGCAGAATCAAGAATCATGCCTTTAAATTCAAAAGTTCCTGTGAATTCTTTAAGAACTTCAAGGTGGAATTCATCAGGGTCACCAAGATAATCTCCGATCATGCTCTTGTCCAGCCCCGGAGTGTAGCGGAAGAAGAAAGCAAAAGCTTTGGGATCGGGAGGATCAGAGACCAACAGACAATGTTTCAAGTATTCCAAGCCTTTCTTTTCATCTCGATTAAAATGGTTCCCAGCAATCAATATCTTCTTCTTTTGTGCTTTCCTTACTCTTATATACTCCACCCAAGTTTCTAAATCATCCTTTGGTTTATCGACCCAAAAGGGTCTATACTCGGTAATTTCAACCGGGAATGGCTCTGAAGTGCTTGAATCATCTTCTTTGTCAATGTTATCAGAAATGTTGTGAATCATGATAACCAGTCCTTCAAAAGCTTGGACTTGCAAAGTCGTCATGGGACCAGTCCCTGGAAAGGCCTGCTTGCACAGCAACTTCCCAACCTCCTCAAATACATTTCTGCAAATAGGGTTGCAATCATAGTTTGCATAAGCTTCAATTACAAACGTTGGTTGCCTGAAAAAATTTATAATTGCTTCCAGTGCAACCTGCTGAAGTTGCATAGAAGCTCCGGGAGATGCAATTCTCAACAACACAAACGAGAAGAAAGCCTCTAGTTGAAGGTGTATGAACCTGCAAAAGGCAAAATAGCAATTTGATTCCAATGTCATGGCTTTTGATGACAAAAAAAAGTCAGTTCAGAATCTGATATAAATCCCTGCAAATCAAACCTTCGAAGAAAGTGATAAATATTCAAGACAGTGCTGCAGATCCTGGAAAGCACAAGTGGACTTGAACAAGTCCCATAATGGATCAGATGGTGAAACAAATCATCCTGGATCATCCTCAAAAGCTTTGGATGCTTTCCAATTCCATCACCACTCAATTCTATAGCACAATTAATCAAAACCAATGCGAAAAGTTGAACATCTTCATCAGATGTATGCCATGTCGATCCTTCCGTGTCCACAACTTCCACCACATTCAGCAAAGAACATAAAAACTGAAAAATATCAACCGCACAACGTATTCCATACCCTGAATTTTCATCAACATCATCAGTTTCAGATTCTGAATTCTCCCCTTCACTAACCTCAACGTCGGGTAATCGGGAAAAGATTATCTGAATCAACTCATGCATCGTATACCGTGCACAGCGTTGAAGCAAATCTCCTCTGGTTACAGATTGTTGAACAACCTGAAAACAAGTATTGACAATTGTACAAACCGCCTGATCCGTGAGCAAGACTGAAGCATTATGTCTCATAATCCCTGTCAAAACCTGTAAAATCTTCATCATCACGGCATCCTCAGAAACCGTGTCTGTTTTCTCCAGGCGGCAGCCCGTGATCCCAGTAACAACGGAGTTTATAGCTTCGTTTGCTTCAGGAGTTTTCTCATCGAATATTTCGAGTTTAAGAATCTTCAAAATAGCTGACAGGGCTAGTCCCGTGGCTGCAGCTGGAATGTAATCACTTTGTATAACATCAAGGAATGGGGATAGATAAATACAAGGATTAATGGTTCGCCATTCTTGATGGGGATTGAAAATGAAACCCCTTAAGGATTTTAAGGATTGTTGGATTGAAGAGTCAAAATAGTTTTCTTGGGGAGAGATGAATTGAGCGGTTGGATCTATCGGTCGCCTGATCACGGCCAGGACAGCCCCTACCTCGGTGTTCAACATGCAAGACATTCCTAGCTCTTTCCTTTTCGATTTGCCCATGTCTTTCTTGTTCTGTTGTTCTTCCATTCTTTTTGTTCAAAGAGGGAATAAACTTAAACCAAGTTCAAGATTTGGATCTTGCAATGACCATTTTTTTTCTTTCAGGTGTGGAAATGAAGTTTTTGTCTTGCGATTAGTGAGAAAAGTGAGTGTCAAGGAACGTGTAAGAAAGTCATTCGTCCAAAAAAATTGGAACGAAGGAAGCCGTATTATTTGGTGAACTGGAGGATTATTTGGTAGAAGGATGAATTTTTGAAGACTTCTACCACTAATATCTCCTTGTTTTGTTCGATTCTATTGGCTAAAAATTGGTTTCAGAAATGATCAAACAGATTTGAGCCTAGCTAGTTAAGTTTCATGCCCACAGTAGATAATAGACAATTGAAAAGTTTCAAGAACAATTATTAATGAACGGAGATGGAAAATTAATGTTTCAAGAACAATTGAAAAGACTGCTGATAGTAGTATTATAGCACATTTCAATCGCCTATAGAAGACAAAGCATGCATCTTGATTATAAGGACATCCCTGTGAGCCTGTAACATTCTCCCGTTACCCAAATCAGACGGGGCCAGTACTGAAAAACAAGCCAACCAACCCTACTGTCCTAATTGCATGAGCCAATCCGTAGTCCCTGCCGAATTAAGGACTGCAAATAGAGTATGTACGTGTCTGGCAAAAGGATTTGTTTACAAAACATGATTTTTGCAAAGCAATTTGCGAATGAAATGTTTTTGTTTTTAGTTGCAGACTCTATGTGAATTTTTTAGTTCATGCCACAAGCAAAACAATGTGTCGTAAGCATCGCCTTCATCAAAGTTACAATTTCTGAATTTCCAACCTGTAAGACAGTTACTAGGGTCTTTAACCACTCTTCATGGAGACTTTTAGAACTCTGATCTATGTTCACTAGACCTAAAACTTTCTCCAACAGATCAGATCTTTTTATTACTTGTCCAGCCTTTGAGGTAGCTTCAACTACGTTTATCGGGATCCCAGCCATGGTTTCAACTTGAAAACCATAACTATCTGGGCGTAGGAGAACCAGCTTCTGCTCACCTTTAGAAAAACCTTCAGAACAACCTTCAGGCTTCAACTCAAAAGAGCAGGCCATGTGTTTCAGTGTAACATGTGGATGATGGCATATTAATTCTCTTAAAGGTGGAAAAGGATGTAAACTTCGAAATCTCACGCATATGCAATAGCATATCCATCAAAAGTGCTTGTTCCTCGACCCGGTTCGATCATCAAGAATAACAAGGGAGAGTTTGGATAGCATTTTTGAAGAACTGATGTTTCCGTGCACTCGACGTTATATCTCAAACTGAAGCGTCTGATTCATTTCACCCTCACCCACCTAAGAAACACACTTGACGTTAGACGACTCTAAACAAATGAAATATCACCACGTCACCAAGTCAAAGAGATATTTCCTGACCTTTTTGACTTTATTGCTTCGGCTTCACGCTAATTACCTTTTTCTATTATCCTCGACAGCAAAAGGACTCAATAACGAATTGCCATGTCATTATATTACAACGTATACTTCCAAAGAACCTTCCAGATATTAAAGACGGCCGGAACTTTCCAGAGCCTCGGCCTTCTATATAAACGCCAATTTATGTTCGGAAGAATCAGAGTTTCATTTGGTTTTATCTAAGATTTTCCATTGTCTTCAACAATGCCAAGCAGATTTGGTGGATCCGTGACTCAGGATTGGGAGCCCGTGGTGCTTCACAAGTCCAAGACCAAGGCTCAGGAGCTACGCGATCCGAAGGCCGTGAACCAGGCGCTGCGGTCAGGTGCACCGGTCCAGATGATCAAGAAGTTCGATGCCGGGTCGAACAAGAAAACCGCAGGGCCTGTGGTAAACGCTAGGAAGCTTGATGAAGGAACGGAACCGGCTTCTCTGGACCGGGTTTCGACGGATGTTAGGCAAGCGATACAGAAGGCCAGGCTGCAGAAGAAGATGAGTCAAGCTGAGTTGGCTAAGCTGATAAACGAGCAGCCTAAGGTGGTTCAGGAATATGAGAGTGGGAAGGCGGTGCCGAACCAAACGGTACTGGCTAAGATGGAAAGGGTTCTCGGGGTGAAATTGAGGGGAAAGATTGGGAAATAATTCTAAAACGACGTAGTATGGTAAAGGGCGGTGGTGTTTTGAACATGTGTTGATATAAATTGTAATAATTATTGTTAATAATTATTGTTAGTATTTTGAACATATGTGTTTGAGGAATTAAATTGTAATAATTATTGTTAATGTAAATGTTATAAATTTTAACAATTTTATGAATCTAAATGTAATGTTTATATAAATTTAGATAACATTACGTTTGATACTATATTTCTGTCTGCTGGAAGAGGTTGGTATTTTCTTGCCTGTAAAGAGGAAGATCGGTTGCTCCTCAACGACGTCGTTTCTGCTGAAAGTTAAGCTTATCCTTTGGATTACCAAAGTAACGGCAGAGTTGTAGTATCATAAGGATTTTGGATTTCAAAATAAATTGTTGTGCGAGGAGCCGAATTGAGCAAAAATCAAAAGCCCGGCCCGTTGTTACATTTTCCTTAGAAAAAATAAGAAATAAAAAATTTCCATATTTAAACCTATGGATTCATATAATAATATTTTATAAGTTTAAAGATTCATTTTAATATTAATTTTTTTTAGATTATGATTTTTTTGTATAAAAAAATAAGAGATAAATTAATTAATTCGATGGTTGTTGCCAATATTAAAAAGAAATATTAAATTATTAGTTATCAGTCTCGCTATCAACGATAACAAGCCATCAACTGATAGTGGGTGGGGAAAATTTTCCCAAATGGTAAGAAGTGCGTACTGTAAGCTTTGGAATATGAACTGTGTATCATACACAACTAGCTCACGGGATAAGGATGCTAGTGTTACAGCCGTTAAATGGCTTGCAAATTCTTCAAAGTTAAAGGTACTTGATTGGTGATTGACGTTGACTTAATTTCTAGCATCTTTCTCCATTATTATTTGTCATCTAAGCTACTTTTGTTCCAAGTCTCGCCAAAGTTTTATCATTGGAAACTCTGAATTATATAACATGATTTTGAATCATCAGATCACTAATTTTTCAACGCCAACTTGAGAATCCCATCTGGTTTTACAATTCCAGCGGCCAGAGAGCTGTTGCTGCCTAGTAATAATGTTTAATTTGCTTCAAAAATCATTATTCCTTTTTTTGCGTTTTTATTTTTTTGAGAAATGGTCCGTTTTTTTCCCAGTGAGCGAAAGCAATTAATGCACTGTCGGCCACAAGAAAATGTCAAAAGGCCTTGCATCTGGACTTGGTGGTTAATTCAAGTAGAAGATACATAAAACAAACAAATTAGCTAGTCAAGATATTTATATTGATCAAGCATTGGCATCACAGTTGCAATATCAGAAATTACAGAAATAGTTTTTGCTTTTTTTTTTTTTTAAACACTGCAGTTTTGCCCTTTCTCTGTCTGAAGACAACATGCTGTTTACAGATGAAAAGATTGAATGGGACAAAACATTTTATCCATGAAGACTGAAGACTAGCAGATAGCTTCAGTGCATCAAGGATTGAAAACTTGTGTCTTCAAGATTCAACTAGACTGCAGCTTTGCTTAGAAATACCCTGGAAGGATCAGCAAACCTCATAGAGAATGATCGAGAAAGGTTGTCAGGCTCATCCCACGCAAAGCCCTGATCGAAATTCTGTGAGTAGGTGTAAAGATCATAGGGTACCTGCACTGGATCAGACTCAAAAATCTTCCTCTGCTCTTTCTTAAACTTCATCCAGAGCACTTTCCACTTCAATTTGTTTGACCCGGTGGTGGATGGTGATGAGTTCACAGCCACAGGTCCAAACTCATGGTAGCCCCGGCCTAAGCAGACAGTTTTGCACCCTGAATTGCACCAGTTTCTGATGTCCATTGCAGTGAAAAACCAAGCTTTTCTTGTTCTCCAACCCAAAGAGTGATACTTGAAATAGCACGAGAAAGGATTGATTCTAGATAATGTAAGCACATGGCTCTGTACATCTTTAAAGGGTAAATGGAAGTTGGATGCCTTTTCTAAGACCATCATGGTCCAACTCGGATAGCTTGTTGAAAAGTTTAGGACCATCGGCTCAAGCCTAGGCCCTTGTTCTAGTGGTCAGGTCTGAGGTGTCCTCCCCAAGCCCTAGTGGAAGGAACATGGGTTTTTTCATTCAATTTTAAATAAAAATAGATCCTCAACATTTTCCAACACAAGCAAAGCTATGCATGTGATTAGTCATGCTTTTTCAACATCCAGGGGCTGCATTCCGGACCCATGTGCGTGTGAGGGAGTTCAGAGGATTAAGCTGCAGCCTCAAGGGCTTTTATCTTCGTGATTTGCAAGCAACAGTTTCTCCCAAAAAAAAAATCTTTAGGATTCGATTGGTGGTGGGGGGGGGGGGGGAATACGAAGGAAAGAAACGGAGGACCATTGCTATATGCTTCACTTTAGAACATGTCCACCATTTTCAAAAGCACCAACACGCTTTAACAAAAGACTCAGAGAAACAAATGGTTTTGACATTTGATAGTGACTGCAGGCATCACGAAAACATAAATCTACCCCCACGTCTCACAGTGTATATTTATGTGCAGATATTGTTACTTGTTAAACCTAATATTATGGGTTTGGAACAAGCGATTGAGCATTGACTTACACACTTGGATAAAAGTATTGGGCTTCGACCTTCAGGATTAAAGCCCATGCATTCAGAGCCCAAATTACGCTTAAGCAGCAACGTTACCCTAGCTAAATGCTTTGGACCAAAATAGTTGTCAATCCTAGGCTTATATAAATAAATGTTATGCCCATAAATTACTCTAAAGATACTAATAATTTCGATTATACCCTATGCACCTTAAAATATGAAAATAGTACATATATAATATTTTAACCACTGTTTTTCTTAAAAAAGAAATTTAATTTTTGAGTTTTTTAAATAAAAAAATTATCACATATGAAACTTGTAAGATTGAATCAGCCCATTTTTATAAAGATAAAATTAAGTGTTTGACTGTATAAATGACCAAACGGACATTATTATGTAATTCCTCATAACAGAATCGACATGATGCATTTCATTTTTATATTTGCTACTGCCATGATTATAATTTTACGCCAAACTTTTCCTCTTCTTGGAAAAAAATTGATACAATATTCTTCCTCCAAAGCCCAAACCTCTGAAAAAAAAAAAAAAAAAACTAGAAAATATTTGCTCTTCCGATTTGATCATACGAATCTAATATTTCAAAGAGGAGCAAAATATATATATATATATGTTTATATAGAGTAATGAACATGCCAACTGAATTTATTTATAATATGATAAGATTTACCATATACAGATGAAAAAAAAATTGGTGCAATTTCTCTCAATGAATCCATGGAGAAAATACATTAAAAAAATTTTAGGGTCATATATGAATAATAAAAGGTGAATAAAATCAATGGATAAGGTAGGTAATTGCCAGGGCAAGTAGAAGTAGAATGTAAGCAATTCCTTGATCAATGGCAGTACCATCGTTGGATGGAGCTGGTGCAGGCGAAGAACCGGTGCTTTGCCCGGAACAGAGTTGCAAAAGTGCAAAGAGCAGGAACCCAATGACTGGAAGAACATGCACCCTCATTGAACTCATCTTCAAATAAATAATACTTATAATTAACCAAACAGATGTAAAACAAGAAGAGAATTTCACGGTGTTTTTCCTTCTAACAGGAACCGGAGAGACTGGAATAAAAGCAGGAGGATGTTGGTGAATTTGTGAAGAATTTGATGATATTTATATTGGGAGAGTTTGTTTTGGTAGGTAGGGAAGGGGTGGGCAATTTCCTGGAAAGTGAGAGGTCTAGAAACTGAAGGTGGCCTTTCATGAACGCGTCGTGGACACGAGAATTTTTGACTCGGTTGGGCGGCCGGCCTTAAGATTGACCAGGGGTGGCTTGGCTTGCTGTTTTTAAAAGTGTCGTGGGGGCCATTGGCTATCTTGATCCTCGTGCCGTTTTAAGTTTCGTTTTTTTCTCCGGACATGAACGACGAACAGACTTTTATTTTGGGTTTCTGTCTTCTAGTCAAAACTGAAATTCATGTTCTTTTTATCACGATTTTGGCGTGAATTGAATTGTAGTACAAGAGTTTGATTAGGGATTCAAGAGGTAGAGTAATTGAGGGAGAATTTATGCTGGCACCGGGTCATATGCCAGCTTAAGGCTGTATTTGGGCTTAGGCTGGCACCGGCTCATATGCCAGCCTAAGGCTGTATTTGGGTTACACGTACCTCAGTGGGGCTACTTTTTTATAAAAATTGTGTGAACATACCGAACATTTTTTTTTTGGATGTTTAATTTAAAGTGTGAAAATGATTTTTTTTTCAACGGAAAGTTTTGAGTCAGTCAACAAAGGCTCAATTGCATTTTTTTTTTTGCTTTTAATTTAACTTATTCTCTTCCTTTTTTCATTCTAATTTTTATTTAAAAATTACAAAATAAATTATAATTTATAATTTAATATAATAAAAATATAATTTGATATATCATTACTTTTTATTAATTTTATTAACAAAATTATTATTGATCATAAAAATAATTTTTTATTAATTTTACAAAAATTAAATAATTTAAATTTTTTATTACATATAAATTTAACCTAATATTTTTAATGATATTTTTTATTTTATTGTCACTATTCCATTTACATCCAAACATATATATCATTAATTTTAATCTCATTATTATAATAATTAATTTTATTTTCATCGTTGGTTACCTAAGAATTCAGGTCACATTTTGCTTAGAATCCTTGACTTCCGTTAGACAAATTGCCAGATTTTAATGCATTTTATGGGCACAAAAAATCTTTAATTTGTCATAATAAACAAGAAAAATACTACATTTTCCCATCAATCTACCAGATTGTTGCCCATTTAGAAAATGAAACTAATTATAAAGAGTATAAAACTCTAATAGCAGATTTTATATTATCAGACTTTAATTTGTTGGAAAATAATTATAATATTTTATGCATGCGATGATTTTACAATATAATAGACAATTCAAAGTTTTACTTTTCTTAATTACGATATACAAATAATAGCAGAAGCAAAACTAATCCCCTTGTCGGCTTGTCATCTATATTAGAACATTGATGCTTGTCAGTTAGGACACGCCAAGCATGTCAAATTGGAAGGTCAAACAAGTTGTTTTGCTTTGTTAATGGTGCGATTTGGAATGGTCTTACATGGATGGAAACGACGGAGACTTTTGGTTATTTAGTCAAAGTCATCTATCATATGCATTTGTTATTAATAATGAAAAAGATGAATAACTGATATATTGAGTCAAGCTTAGGCTTCTGGAAAATTGACTGCTAAGACCAGGTAGTGTTCATGAATTCAGCTGGCTTCATCGCTGCCTGACTGCCTCAAATGGCAAGGCAAAATCTCATTACTGGGTTTGATCATCATTCTATTTTCCACAATGAACAAGCCAGAAAGGATTCCATCTTTTTTCATTGCCTTGTCAACAAGAGAGAGGTAAAAAAAGAATTTGAAACCCAAGCACCCAAAAGTAGGAAACTGGAACCAGATCAAAAGTTAAACGACTTCTTTCAATTTCAGGCTGCAAGCTCCTGAATGGGGCCTTTCAAGTTTGCTACTTGATGACATTTTTTCCTCTTCATCACGGCAATTGCTAGAAACAAGAAATTTCTTTTGCCCCTTCTTTTACTTGACAAAAGGAGATATGGTTAATTGCTACTTTGAATACAAGAAAAATACTGGAATCAAGTGTATTAGTATTTGAGAATAACATATTCAAACTATTTTCTTTAATGGATGGAAGACTTATGACAGTCCTGCCTACTTTTAGTTTATAACACAACAATTGTTGCAAATAAGGCCCAAGAAAGGCAGATGGAACTCGGAAATTCTTCTCAAGTGATTGCCTAATCTTGTGCATTAAATATTTTAATGCTTTTTTTTTCCGTGTAAGTGCCAAAAACCTACTGGCAGCTGTGTTACTTTATGTAATTACAACCTTTTTTTTTTGTCTAGTATGATGGCAAAAGGTCTTGTCCCCTGCTAAAATCTAAGAGGTAAATGCACTTTAGACGAGGATAGGACTAGGAAAAGCGTCAGCATCAGTTCAACCATTGTTCATTTGTCCTTTTTTTTTTTTAAAAAATTTTTCAAGCTTCAGAAGAGAGGGCACTTTCAAAGGCAAGCCCAATTTCATTTTCAGCATCTGCCCAAGGAAACCTCATCAAAATCTTTCGAGTTAAGAAACATGCGCACCTTAACTGAAAGTGAGTATTTTAAAAGTTTCAAAAAGTGCCTAACTAAAGTGATTTCTTCATTTTGCATTTCCACACTCAGATTAGTCTTGTCCTTCGTAGTCAAATCATGCGAGCAGTGGGAAAAACCAGCGGCTGACATAAGCTACTCCTTGGCCACAAAAGACTTGTGTTCTAGCCACTGGGGTAATGACTTGTAATTTAATCTGTTAGGGACAGAACCATTGAGATGTTGGCACGTTAAACATGAGAGGACGTGGCAGCACCTGATTTTGAAATGGAATCATGGTGGGCAAGTGTCGGTTAATTAGGTCATGTTTTGGACAAGTGGGTGTGTAAGCAGCTGATCCTTTTGGACGGGTCTCAAGGAGCACCTTGTCGAAGCTTTGAAGATAAAGCATAAAGATAAAGCATAAGCTTTCAAGAATCAATCAAAAATCGCTTTATGCCCAAAGCATTACTTGCCCACCTCTCCTTATTCCTAACACAGATTCTTTGCTTTTCAAGCTCTGTTCACAAAGCAACATAATAATACCCGGAGTGAAAGGGAGAAGGGAGAGAAGGGGGAAAAAAGAAGGAAAAATGTGCTATGCAAACATTCCTTCTGCTGGCAACCGGGGCTCGGTGGTGCAACGCAGATGGTTACTTTTGCAGGCGTCAATGATGGCTGCTGCGCATCATTCACCAAGAACTGAGATGCCAAAAGAGACTGGTGGAGCTGGTTCGATGAAGCCGTGTCTGTGCTCACCTACGAAGCACCAGGGGTCGTTTCGGTGTAGGCACCACCATGCGGAATATGTGTGGGGTGGTCGATTCATCAACAAGAAATGACTGCACCACTATGTCAAGTATGTGTGGGGGTGGTCTATTTGTTAGCAAGAAATGACCAGTAGTTTTAGTTCAAGGTCTAAAATCACTTGTAGAAAAGAACCAATGATTTGAACTGCTTTATAAACGGCCTCCCCTTTCAGATTTTTACTCTGTTTTTCTTTTCTTGTGAATTACAAACAAATCATACTGGCTAATTGGTCAATCCTGCAAATTTATATTTGTTTTCTCAGTCTTGCCCCATTATTGCTACCTTTTCTTTCATAAACCCCTTTCCCATCTTCTGATCTCTCCCTCTTTTGCCCTGTTGGCCTTATTCAATTGTACAAAAAAAAGGAATGGACACCCTCCAAATATCTTCACAAGAGAATTGCCACACAATGAATTGCAGCAGCAAGACATTTGTTTTTTACCTATATATTCAGCTAAAAAGGAACAAAGTACAGAACAGCAATATAATCTGTCTATGCATGGTGGAATCAAAATTCATTTTCATAGAAACTCAAATCCATGTGAATCTAAATAAATCATTATATAATCAGAAGGCAAGCTACCAAAAAAAAAAAGTTCTTCCTTGAATAAATCATCTCATCTAAAATTATTGGTTTACAACTGCTAGTTATATGCACTAACTGAACAATGATCACTTACATTAACGAATCACCGCAGCATCCAAGTCTGTATCCTCACTTCTATTACAGACTGGCCACCACGTTACAGCAAAACACAAACCCATTTTAGGATTCTCAGTGAAAATGTAAAATATATAAATCTTGTATGACAAAAGGGAATGCGGGTACTTAAGAAAAACTTCTTATTTTGGATGGCAAGCAAT